GCTGCCCGACTGCGCGAGGAGCGAGGCCAGGAGCGCGATGTCTGCGTCCAGCGGCTTCTGCGGTGCTGTCGAGGACGAACTGGGTTTAGAAGTGCCGTTCATTGTCGGCGATACTATGTGGTGTATTTGAGACAAATATGTGGGCTATGAAGGAGTACGGTGTTGGCGAGGGCGAGCACTAGTGCAACGTCAGAGCAAGACGTTCTGGTTAGGCAAGTGATTAGGACATCGCGAGATTGCGATCTACGATAAGATTAGATTCCTGATCTCCGCGCACTCCCGCTGATTGATGCGCCTTCCCGTGTCCCGACCTGCTTGACGATTTACGTTTCTCCACTTGGCCCCCCAGCCCATCCTCGACTCCTGACGCTTCCTGCGACAACCACGGGATGATCTTTCCTTCATAAGGCATCCAACTATGCGCGTTGCCTGGTATCATGGCGGTGCCAAATTTGTGCTAGAGTGTAGTTCAACTTCACTAGGCATATGAGCTGGCCGTTCCTCGAGGCTGTTCTGTGCTGTGCGACATTTTGTATCCTTCGATATTCAAATATACCGTCTACCGCCAACTGGGGTTCGTGTTGGCAGTTATAGGCCCTGGGCGCCGCGCGCTACGGTCTTACATTCATTATCGGGTAGCTGCGCACTGCCATTCGGCAGTACTTGTCTACTGACCCGGCGCTTGCGGGTGGCTGTCCGGGTGGTTTGCTTTTTTATCCTTTACTAATTCTGTCATATATTCTCTGTTTGCCCAGTTACCCTCGCTGCAAACCCGCGTACATCATGGCCCAGCCGGCCGGGGACAAAAGCACCTTGAACGAAGCCCGCTCAGCTGTGAGTGGTGTACGACGCGTTGCCGGGTTTTCATCCGTTTTGACTTGCTTTCCAGAGCACCCGCGGTCCTGTACTACGGGATTGGGCAGGCATCGAGGATCATCTTATCAAGTACGACGGAGGCAGGGTCACGGGCTATTCGGAAGACATTGACACTCTGCTTGTATTCGTGAGTCGTGTTCACAATTTGGATCTGGCGCTCACTCATCAGCAGTTTCAAGGCCGGTCTGTTCTCAGCGATCCTAAGCGCGTTTGTGGTTCAGACATATCAGCTGCTCCAGCCTGACAACCTGGATGCGACGAATCGACTTCTCGCATATGGATTCTCTGCGCAGAGAGCCCAGGTCCCGATTTCTGCTGCGATAAATGCGACGATGAACTCCTTTCTAGACTCACCGCCATTCATACCCTCTGCCTCTGCGCGATGGATCAACTCTCTCTTCTTCATCAGCCTCGTACTCAGTCTCGCCGCGGCACTGCTCGGTATTCTCGCCAAGCAGTGGATCCGAGAGTATATGCAATGGAACTCTCCCCTCGCGGCGCCGCGCGAGAACGTGCTCGTGCGTCAGATGCGCTTCGAGGCTTGGGAGGCATGGAACGTCGCGGCGACAATTTCGGCAGTACCTGCCTTGCTTGAGGTCGCTATGATTCTCTTCCTCGTCGGTATGATCATTCTTCTCTGGACACTCGATGACGTCGTTGCCATCTGCGTCACCGCCGCCACTGCCGCATTCCTCCTTGTCGTGTCGGCGTTCACGATCCTCCCAGTCCTCTTCCATCGCTGCCCCTATCGGTCCCCGACTGCGTGGGCGTGCGTCACGGGATATAACCTATTGTGCACGCAACTACACAATTGTGTCGAGCTAAGCAAGCTGTCCTTTCGTGCGCTCAAATTCCGCATAAAGCAGCTGTGCAAAGCAGCTCTAGATAGCTATGGCGGTGCTGATGACCATCACCAACGTCCCTACATTCGTTCTCGTTCTTCCAGCTACAGTAGACCGTCATGGCACTCGCCCCTTGACTCCATATTACGCGCGTTTCTCTTGCACCTATGGAACGCCGTCAAAGACTGGGAGCGCCCTAAAACAAGTCCGAAGTTTCGCGTCAACGCATTGGTTTGGCCCTCTGGTCTCACCGATTGGCGTTACAGGGACCTCGAGAGCTGCAAGGCTGCTAAGTTGCAAGTCGGCCGATGGTGGACGAAGTCCTACGATGCGCGTCCAGACGCTAAACGCGCCCTTGCGACGGAGTGGAGCGAACTCGGCGAGAACGGCCAATTCCTGAAACAGCGTGAATCCGAGAAGGTGCCCGAGACCGTTGTGGATGCGCTGTTCGTCGAGATATCCCATACGGTGCTCCTCCTGCAAGCTCTCTCCTGGGTGCAGCGGTCGTCTCAGGACGCGCGAGTCGGCACGTTCATCGAGCAGTGCACCGAGCTCGTTCACATCTCCGAGCCTGCTGGCACGACGCCGTATGCCATCCGCATGGTCGCCACCTGGTGCGTGCTCGCGTCGCTGAAGCACAACCAGCTGCACCAGCCACAGCTTGCGCTTCTGCCCCGCGCATCCTCCGGGCTCCGCGAGGACTCGCCCGTGACTGGCTTGCGGCTCTCCACCGGTGTGCACATCGGCGACCTCCTCGCGCCTGCGCCGCGCCAGCACAAGCGGGAGCTCAGCATGGACGCGTCCGCCCCCGGTTCGCATATCATTCCAGTGCTGGCACGCATGGTTGCAGCCGATCTGAAGTACACTCTATCTGCGGCGTCTGGGCCCGGGGCTCTTCCCCAAGAGCGCAGGACTCTTGAGCTATTCAACGTCCTCCAGGCATTGACAGAGAGCATCACCGATCTCCGTCGCGAGCCTTGGTTTGTGCAAGCGGTGGAAAACGTGCTCCGTGCGAGCACCGAAGGCTCGGCCACGCCAAAGCTGGCCGTGATGTTCCCGGTCGCTTGCCGGCAGGTTAAGTTTACATCTCAAGGAAAGGAGCTAGGTGAGGCAAGAATCATAGTATATGCACACCACCCGCTGACACCCGACATGACAGCCGTAACGAGTGGACAGACTTCGCCCACAGACTACGAGTCTCTCATTCTCTATTACTTCGAGCGCCGTCTGGAGAACCCGAGCGAACAAACCCTGAACATGTTCGTCTTCTCATGTGTCCGCTGGCTCAGAGAGCGCCGGATCAGCGATGTGCATTCTCCTGTTGCGACGACTGTCCTCCAGCGGATGGGAGCCGCCGCGCGTGTAATCGCACAGCTCCGTGCGCCGCGCGACGTACACGGGTACGATGGCGCTGACGACGGCGAGTGGATCAAGCTCGTACGACACCAATATAAGGACCTTGCGGCCGAGAAGGCGCGCGCGCGCGTCCTCCGGCAGCTCTTCCACGCTTTCGAAACGGCATACCGCCGTGGCGTGCTCGCAGGCCATCAAGGACTCATCCGCGACATGATCCACGAGGGTCTGAAGCATACGCATGAAGATCTGGGCAACATCTGCACAGATCGCAAGTGTCCCTGGGTCAAACATAAGTGCCAAGGCGAGCAGGCGTTGCTTCCGACGTTCCAGAACTGCCCGCTGCTGCAGAAGGATGTTCGTGTGGCGCCGAATTCTGTCCCTGCAAAGCTGTCCATGTCATTGATCGAACAAAAACGACCTGTTGAGGTGGTCATTCCTCCGGGTGCAGTGGACAGCGTGACGTCCGGGACAGTTCGCTTCCTTCCCGCAGATGACTTGCGATTGCCATTGCTGCATCAAGCTCTTTCGACTTGTAAAATCACTTACGACCGCCTTGATAACTGCCTCGGTAGGCATATTGACTCGTAGCTGAATTAAGATCGCATGGCTAACATTTTTGATGTCTCTTTCCAGCACTTTCACCTGGCAGCACCTCCGCTAAGTCACTCGAGAAGCTCCTGTTGGAATACTTCCCAGGGGCGGCAGAGCGGTACAGCGAAGAGTCTATCAACATGTTCATTCTCACGGCCGTTAGGTGGCTCGACACGCAACGAAAGATTGAGCACCGCGCGTCCGCGACCGTCACGGATATCCTCGGGCGAATGGTTTTAGTGGCCGAAGCAGTACGGCAAAGGGAGCGCCGGTCCGTTTATGGTTGCGACGAGGCCGAGGATTACACCTGGCTCGCCGCCCTCCTGTCCTACCGCGAACGACTCGTCCGGACCCACGGCTCAATCTTCCGGCGGCTTCTGCACGTATTTGAGGACTCGTTCCGGCGTGGCGTGCTTGTTGGTCCTGAGACCTGGATAGCGTTCTACCTCCACGGATGCCTGGAATCCGGTCATGAAGGCTTATCTGTGTGCGAAGACGAGAGCTGCTGCTGGATTCGCCACGAGTGCTCGGACGGCCTCTGGAAGCGAGATTGTGCGCTACTGCATCCGATCGATTCCGCTCGCGGTCAAAACGCTCCGCCTGCTAAGACTGGCTCACTATCAGTAGGCGCGGACAGCTCTACCTCTGCTAGGAAGCCAAGCGGACCACCAGAGACAGCGGTGCATCATGAAGAAGAGCAGGATCCGTACCTCTTACCTTCAACGAAGGGGTGGAAGTTCTGGGCCTTCTACCACGCCTGCACGTCTTCTCGACTCACAGTTCGCGCTCAAGATAATAAGATCGGTATGTACATCAGTTCTACACAACGAAAAGTTCTCTGACTCTTTCCCAGTGCTAACTAGTGGTGTCACTACCGGCATGGACTACGAGTCGCTGATCTTGCGCTACTTTCCTAGCACCTTC